TAGATGGAATATTAGATGTCAAGAAAATTAAGGAACAAACTAATTTTACCTTATCAGAAACGCAAAATTTTATTACTAAGTCTTTTTTGTCCAAACTATTTGATAGGAAAAATATAATTAAATATGGAAAAATGATAGGAGAAACGGCAGTACAAATAGAACAAACTAATGGAGATTTCCTAATTCAAATAATAAATAGGGAACAAAATAGGAAAAAATTATCCAAGTTACAACAGGAAGAAAGAAATAAAATAGCTTATATTCACATTAGCACGATACAAATCAATTCTAAAATCTACTATGAAAACAGGGATAAGTGCACCTATAGAACTAGAAATAAGAGATGATCGACTCATCAATAGAGAAGAGAGTATTATTGCAAAAGGAAAAGGAAATCTAGGAGTAGGAATAATCAAATTCGATATTAATCTACAACAAGGAATTAGTTTAACAGATGGGAATCTCGACTCTTCCATTATTATAAAGTATGAATTGAAAAGAAAAAATTTCATGAAAGAAAACAGTAAACCTTTTTCGGTAACATACCAGATAAACTATGCACTGACCAATAGTCATCATAGTCTAGCGTTTAAAGATAAGGAAGCCATCACCATAGAAGATTTATTCAAACCATTAATTCAATTAGAATCCCCTCTAAAAATAATAAAATCAAATTATGATCATCCAAGAATAAGTATAGATGAGAGAAGTTCTTCCATGAGACTAACCGATAAGCAGAAGGAAATGGAGAAAGAAGAAAACAAGGAAATAAAAAGCATAACTATACTTCATCAAAATGATAATACTAGTGAAATAAAAAAGTTACAAGAATTAATCGTAGAAATGAGTGAAAAATTGTAAAGATGCCTAACACTCATTACATAAATAAATTGATAGAAGGAATAGATGTAATAGACCTTCCATCAGTAAACGACATTAATACGGTTACATTAGAATTATCTCACTTCGTATCAGATATTGTAGAAGAACAAATGTGTATCGGAAATTCAGAAACTTTGGAAGAAGCCGTATTTAAAAATGAATTAATTATCGATATAATAACTAGTTTAAAAAAATAAAACAGAAACTAGAAAATAGATAAAATCAAGAACAATAGAATAAGTTTAAAATTAGAAGTAATATTTCTAGAAGAAAACAATAGCTTTTCTCCCATTTTGACTGTTCTGTATTCATATTTTCACTCATTACCTTATCACTTATTTTCATTCATCAAGTGTTGTCCTCATATTTTATCATAAATATTTATTTTTATTTTATTTTCTTCAAATAACACAAATTAGATCAGCCTGCTTTGACCTGTAACCGAGCGGGTATTCACTTATAGAGCTACAGTTATAGAGTGATTGAAGGACATGACACATACAAGCTACAACAGAACAAATGAATGTTTGGCATTCTCTTCGTAAATGATACCCAATGACAAGAATGGCATGGCAAATTCTGATACTATCTATCACCTATGCGGAAGCGGCTTCTGCAGGTCGCTTGGCCTCCAATGTCTTCTCGTACTCCTCGATGGACTTGAAGAGCTCGGAGAAGTTGCCCTTCCTGAATCCCTGATAGAGCTCCGGATTAAGCTCTATCGGGAGATTGGGAATTAGGGATCAACTAGGGATTGATCCGGGAAATTGGGGAATTGAGGGAGGGTGAATTTGGGTGATTGGAATGAGAAGAGAGGAGGGAAAGAGACTGCTGCCGATCGGCAGCTTGGAGGAAGAAGAAGAAGGCTCGGCGGCCTAGAGAGGAAGAGAGAGAGAGAGAGTGCAATTAGGATTTAGGTTTAATCTTTGCTTACCTTTACCTACGTAAAACAATAGTTTAAATACCCAAACACAATTACCTACTAACTACCCCAACTTATTAATCCCCCCAATTATTTCCCAATAACCAAAATAAACCCGAACTAAATAATTCAAACCGACATAAATCCCAAATAAGTAAAACGCCCATCAATCCCCCAAAACCACCCTTCTGGAACTCTTTCCCTGCCTCATCCTTCATCGTGCACCCCACTCTCTGTATTATCTCGATGAAGATGTTCGGCCTGTCAAACACACAACAAATTCCCAACTCGCTCGCTCAATTTTCACAAGAGGTGCGATAACAGACAAAAATATATAGGACATAGCCTCTTGCTCCATGGTTAAGCTAAGAGGTAGCAGAAGATACCACAGATCTCATACTCTAGACAAACACCACTGCTACAAAATGGAATTTAGTAAGTTGATATGAAAAATTCTCCTTTCTTAGTCTGCAACCCTAACCTGACTACCAAACAGAACCAGCTCCTTTTCATAGAGCAAACCTCTACAAATTATTTTTTTTTTGCGCTCTTTAGGTCCTGACCCAGAAGCCCAATTTCTCTCGATGGTATCTACTTTCTTGTACTTTACCAATTTCAGCATCGATTGAAACTCTACCTTCCTCGTTTATTAACTTACTATACCTATCTTTGTTCCCGATAAGCAAGAAAAAGGAAGCCGCGCGAGAGACCCAATGTAGAGAATCGTATTAGGGCTAGCTACCTTTCCTTGTTTTATTATGAAATTTTGGTTCGAGGATTGAAATTTGGAAAAAGGGGGACGCATTAGTGGAAACTAGAAAGGCTACGTTTCATTTTCCCTTGGAAGTCTCTCCCCAACACTCTAATTTCGTAGACTTTTTGCAATAGAAAAGTGAAAAGGAAAGAAATGGGCCTGTTGGATAGAGAAGCATATCCGAGCTTGTTTGGATACTCTCTAGTATTGGCTCATCATCATCCAACCCTCCTGCTACCTTGTGCATTTGTTTTGTCCAGTGCATTGCTGACTTCAAGAGTTAACTTAAGGTGGTGTAAAATGTTGATGCCGATAAATCTATAAACCAACGTTTCCTACTCCTTCGAAATTACCAGGAGAACTAAGATATTTCTCATTGCATAAGATTATTGTTTAATGGCGTTTGACGGGGTGTCTTTGGAGGTATCCACAAAGTCATATACTACATGCCAAGAAAGACTCAAATTCCTAGAGGTCTTGCAAAATTCTAAAAACCAGAACCAAACAGTAGTTACATCATTCTGACCAGTTTGAGAGAGTATAAAGGAGGATTGAATATTGAGGATGAAACTTTCAAGTATGTAATGAAGTATTGGGTAAAGATAGTGAATCCTCAACCCTCACTTGTTGTAAGACCAACTCCAACCCATTCACCTAAGTTGAGGCTCGAAAATTTGAGTCCTCTTTAAAAAAGGAAGCAGGATCACCACCATGGAGTCCTTTGCTTTTCACACGTTTTCTTAAGAGTCACCCAATGCACACGTGAAGTGTCTAAACCTCCTTAGTTGGCAAGGTCCACATCCGAGAGTGTGTTTTGGCACAAAAAGATGGAAGGAAAGTTCACCCGACTTCAATTGTTTTTGAGGTGCCGCCGATGATTGGCAGTACACACTATTATAGGTGTCAATCGAGCGGGTTCGGGCTGGGTTCAATTGGATTTCGGGTTAGTCAGATTTTGGGTTCATCGGATTGCGGGTCAGTCGCGTTCGGGTTTACCGCGTTACGGGTTTATCAGGTTATGGGTTTATCGGGCTACGGGTTTATCGGGTTGCGGGTTCATTAGGTTACGGATCGATCATTGATTGGGTTATGGGTCGGACGGGTTGTGAGCGGATCGGGTTACGGGTTGTTCGGGTTAGCGCGTTGTGTTACTTACTCTTTACTTGTTACAACTTACACTAATTTGTAGAAGAAAAAAATTTAGAAATTAATTTCTACCACATATATGCACTTATATTTTTTTATAAGTACTTATAAGAGTTAAAAAGCTTTTTAAAGTGATAAATTAATTTAGTGTTCGTTTAAATGATTGAGTTATCACAATCGTATAACTTAATAAACTAAGGTTAACCCTCATCTTCAAATCGAAATGCAACTCGAGCACATCTTAAATGGGTCAAATATTTACTTGGGTGTTGTAAAATAACGATTATGTAATGCAAAAGTTGCAACAAATGTAGAATCATGGAAAACAAGTAGACAAATTAAGTAAACTTTTCTAAAACAAATGATTGTTAAAAGTAATGGTCACTTTAATTCATATAATGGATGTTAGGTTATGTGCACTATAAAGAAGCAATTGGGTTAATTTATAATAGTTTCTCAAATATATTTTAACTAGCGTTGCAATCGATCAGAGCTAAACCACTTTTAGCTAAGTTAAGTTCGATATCAAAATTTCAAATTGAAACTCTAGACAAGTGGAACTTTTAGCTAGCTCAAGCTCAAATTCAAAATTCAAAATCGAGCTCAGCTAGTACTTGACACAAGCTCTAAGAAACTAAACTTCAGCTTCGTGCATCAACTGAAATCAATGCTTGAGCTCAATTAAGGACTTGCAATTGGCAAAGCCTAAAGATGGCAACTTATTAGCAAAATTTCTATTTGCCAACATAAAAGACAAATGACTTTGTAATGGGCTGATGATGAATTGCACAACCCAAAACTAAACTTAACAACAGCCAAAGCAGTCATCGTTGACTAGAAGACGACCATATCAAGAGGCTCAAATATGAAGGGCAAGTTATTTACACTTCTTCTGGAATAAGTAAAAGGAAGGGAGAAGGCACCCAACTTTATACATGAGTGAGATTTGGGATCACTTATTCACCATCGATGCGGTAAAATCCTTCCTCTTACACCCACCTCTCTGAAAAATGAATCTCACCTTCTTTTTCCTTTATATCTCCATTTTCTTCCACCAAATCCACTACAACGAGATATATTTAGTTATCTTATACACATTATAAATGAGATGCATATGTAGCTATGTAGGAAAGCATAAAAAAATTGGAAAATGGAAGATATATAATCTATCTCATTGGTCTTTAGTAAGCTAGCTCACGAGCTACATATCAATGGGTAACAAGTCATAATAAACTGTTAATTATGTATATAAATTATAATATAAAATAACCTATTTGATTGGTGTAAGTTTCTAGTACCTGGGAAGAGATCATCTGATGACTGGCGGCGGAGGGGAACCTAGACCAGCAGGAGGCTGGTTATGTTTTTTTTTTTAAAATCTATCAAATTTGGGTCGGTTATATAGTTTTTTGTTAGAGGAGCTTATGGAGTCTCCATGGGCAACATTGCAGGAGGCTTGTTCTCTTAGTTTGGTTCTTGTCTTTCATACCATACGTAAAAGTGAGCACTGGGGGTTTTTTGTGGGTGACCAGAGACCATAAAAGTTGGTAATTGTTATCATTGTTCTTAGTTTGGTCATTTTCTTTCATACCATACGTAAAAAGGGAAACTGGAGAACTGGAGAACTCTTTGTCGGTAACCAAAGAGTAAGTAAGTAATTGTTATCATCATTCTTTGTTGAACTGTATGGAGTTTTCTTGTACACGTTAATTACTTTGAGGACCTTTTTGGTTATTTGTTACTTAACCTAATTACTCTAGGCAATGTAGTAGACATGGTATATTAGCTTGGATGTTCGACCTTGAGATGTAAGTTCCGCAGCTCATATTCTTTGAAGACTAATAAGATAAACCGAGAGCTTCGGCTCTCCATTGAGTAGTCTCGTTCACATCGAACGGGCAAAACCACGTATATCGCTGTGTTGTTCTTCCGCGTTCTAGTAGATTTTACATGGTATCGGAGCAAGTCGTGATCTCACTCTGAAATTGCGATTATGACGATTAGAGATGATGGTGGTTCGGCCGGCAAGAACGTCGTCACCGACGTTGAGACTATCGCGGTGACCTCGCCTCTTTATCTCCATCCTTTAGAGAATCCAGGCCAATTGTTCGGGAGTGATCTCTTGACGGACTCAAACTATGGTGAGTGGGTTAACGATATGACCGAAACCCTAATCGCCAAGAACAAACTAGTTTTTGTTGATGGAAGTTTTTCTCGCTCCAAGGCCGGACCTGGAATCCGCAATGATGCTTGGGGACGATGTGACGTCACCGTAAAAGGGTGGTTGAAAACGACAATGATCAAGGAAGTGAGAAATAGCGTTCGTGCGGCTAAAAATGCACGGGATATCTGGGCTGACCTTTAACAAAGATTCGGCAAAGGCTCCGTAAGAAGGGCTTATGAACTCCGCAGAACTATTGGGGCGCTGAGGCAGGAGAAGCTTTCGGTATCCACTTTCTACACCAAACTTGTCACTTACTCGGATGAGTTGCACTCAGTGACAATTAACCCTCGTTGCACCTGTGGTACGTGCACCTCTGATGTTGCACGACAGACGAGAGAAAAGACAGAGTCGGAGAGGCTTTTTGATTTTTTGCTAAGGTTGGATGATGCCTTCTCGGTGGTCCGATCGCAGATTGACTCGACTCTACTGTCACTCCAGGAATTAGCCAAGTGTAACCACTTCCTAAAGCGTAGTATAGCGGGTTTGGGTTTAATTATCAACCCGGGTCCTAGATATGATGACTACTCAGTGAATTCTTGTTATCTAGCAATGAAACTGGAATGCAAGTCTAAACTATCAAACTAACAAAGCAAGTAAACAGTTGTATTCAGGTTAAGAGAGGTCACCCGGATATGGTTCCACCTAGACTGCAGTTAAGCCGGATTGTAATTACCAAGTTCAGTTTCTATGAAAGTTATACTGCGGAAGGTTCTTAAACAGCCTGAAGTCTCGACTAAAGGTCTTCAGACCCTCTCAATCTGAATCTCTAGCTGGCGACTAACCTCCACCGGAGTAGACAGATTGAGGCCCTAAGAACAAAACTCCACTACCGGAGTAAATCCGGTACAGAATAGTGAGTTGGCTCCTCGACTAAAGTCACCAACTCCCTACCTTCAATCAAGGATACTCTATTAACCTAGGCAGATATTCTCATTCTAGGTTAAAGCAGAAACAACAGGAATTTGATCAGGATTCAAGTCATTCAATCATTAAAACCTCAATCGAATATAATCAATCATAGAATCAGTACTTAGGTTCATACAATCAAAGCCTAACATACAAATCTAGGGTTCTCCATACCCAGATGAATGGGAGAACTACTCCATGGAGAAGAAAGCAAAAGCAGAATCAGACACGGAATTCATACTGCGAAGGATGGATTCCTGCTTCTGGACGTTGATTGGCACTTCTCCAAGCTCAAGCTGGCCTCCAATGGTGTTGAAGATCAATCTAGGGCGCTTGGGAACTCTTGTTCGTCGCTTTCTCTCTCTAGGAATCGTTCTCTCTCTCAAAAACTCGAATCCCCCCGAATTGTGGCTGAAAATCTGCTTAAAAAGAGAAAACCCCGACTCACACGACCAGGGTGGCACGGCCGTGCAGCTCACCCAGTTGCCCGTGTGAGTCAAAACGCAGCGTATCACTTAGTTGAATTCCAGGCTCTTTGCACGGCCAGAGTGGCACGGCCGTGTGAACATCCCTTCTTGCCCGTGTTTGCTCTCGCAGAATGTGGCACGGCCGTGTGAACATCCCTTCTTGCCCGTGTTTGCTCTCGCAGAATGTGGCACGGCCAAACTGGTCACAAACACGGCCGTGTGGATTGTCTGTTCTGCCCGTGTCTGCTCTCGCACAATCCCACACGGCCAGACTGGCCACTTGCACGGCCGTGTGGGTTGTGGGTGTGGCCGTGTGACATCCTTTGTGACTTGCCTCGCGCCCGATCTTCACCCAATCGACCCCGAACTCGCTCCTAAACCTTCATTCACTTGCCAAGATCTGAAATATCACAAACAAGCACAACCTAGCGTGAAATCGGTCTAAAACACGAGAAACCACATCTCCAACGGTGTAAGAACAGGGGTGAAAACATGTGTAACTAACGGTCTATCAAACTCCCCCACACTTAACCTTTTGCTTGTCCCCAAGCAAACCTAACTCAAACCAATGCAACTCTCCCGACCTCTATAGCAACAAACAACCCAAATCGTAGGTAGAGGACTTCCTAGATCATTTAGCAGCTTACGAGGTCAACCGACGCACAAGTCATCTCATAACTTCTTCGGCGAGTCGGCATCATGGCAAATAGTGAACAGAGGACAAATGAATTGTGGATGAAGAGATTCTCAAAAACAAAAGATCATGGACTCACATTTTTCAAGGTGCTCTATTTTCTGCTTAAAGATGGTTGGAACCCCTTTTCTTTCTGTTTTGCTTGTTTTCTGTTATTTTTTTTCCTTTCTTTTTTTCTTTTCAAGGGTCCCAACCTGCTCTTACCGGCCATGCCAGGAGCGGATGTCTCGAGCCTCGTGCGGGGGAAAGACATGTAAGGGGGCTGGAGGTTGTAGGTGGAAATTGGGAACGAATTCCCGTCTCCCCTTACACACTTTTGCCCTATTCGCACGGGAGATGTTATTTTGAAGCACATTTTCGAGCACCTGTTAAACTCAAAACATGATACAAGAGTCCATGACAGGTAGAGAATCCACAACACCACACAATTCAAGGGTCCTAAGATCACTAATTCACTCAATCAACCAACACAATATGAAGAAGAAATGAGACTTCTTAAATGCATCAACATCCTCCATAGTGCTACACTACCTCCCTAGGTTGCATATTACTATAAAGACTGTCAATTCAAAGCATACTGAGCAGGCAATTGCAAGGAACACGTACTTGGAGCCCTCAAATTTTCAAAATTTGGACAGTGGACTAGGCTCCAAGCACACAAACAGATCTAATGCAGTCAAAAGATAAACATCCCCCCACACTTAAGATCGACATTGCCCTCAATGGAGAAGAGGGAAGGGGAAAGGAAAGATGTTACCGGTATGCACGGACTGCAGGAGACTGGAGGCGGGCCAGTCGGGGCAAGCACAGCCAAAGGGGAACAGAAGAGCTCAAACACAATATGTTAGGTTCAATGGTCAGCCCCATAAAATATCATCCAAACCAAAAGAGAAACAAACCAAACCCAAACCGGGTTACAATCCGACTCAAAACACAAGAAAGAAAATCAAACCGTGGTGGGGTTGCCTCCCCACAAGCGCTTCTTTACCGTCTTTTAGCTGGACGCCCATGGTGGATACTCAGGGCGGTGCAGGAACAGGTGCCTTCAAGAGCGGATCCACGTCGCTCTTGAGGTACAGCTTGAGGTTGTGGCCATGCACCCGACGGATGCGACCACCCTCATCAGTCAGCTCGACCTGCCCATCTGGCAAGATGCAGGCGAGTGAGTACTCAGACGGCCAGGGTGGTCGTGGTGCAGGAGGTGGGACCAGCTCATAGTGGTCTCCACTCTTCTTTCGTGCAGGCTTAGCAACCTGCGGCTTCGGCCGCCACTCCTCCTTGAGCTTTTTGTTCGGAGGCGAGGCTGGATGGAGTGGCGGCGAAGGAATGGTAGGAGGGTCCTGCAAAATAGGAGGTGCAGAAGGATACACGAAAGGCTCGTGTACCTGATCAGAAATGGCATGCACAGGCGTGACAACAATCATAGCACAGTGATCAAATTCAGTCACAGAAAAAGTAGCCTGTTCATTCCCAGCACGCAAGATCAGTTTTCCATCATGCACATCAATAAGTGCCTTGGCGGTGGCAAGAAATGGCCTACCTAGAATCAAAGGCACATCCACATCCTCATGTATATCAAGAATAACAAAATCAACAGGATATGTGAATGCACCACACCAACAAGCAGATCCTCTATGATTCCCCTAGGATGCACAATAGAACGATCAGCTAATTGAATGCTCATCCTAGTAGGGCTAAGTTCACCTAGGTCTAGCATTTTATACAACTTATATGGCATGACGTTAATGCTAGCGCCTAGGTCCGCCAAGGACTTTCCTACATGCATGCTGCCGATAGTAAGAGGGATAGTAAAACTCCCTGGATCCTTGCGCTTCTCGGGCAGCTTGTTCTGCAGGATAGCAGAACACTCCTCGCTCAGCAACACTGTCGAGAGATCCCCAAGTTTCTTCTTGTTGGTGCAGAGATCTTTCATGAACTTGGCATACTTGGGCATCTTCGACAGTGCCTCCACGAACGGTATGCTGATGTTGAGCTGCTTCAACATTGCCATGAACTTGGCAAACTCAGTCTCCAGCTTGTCTTTGTGTAGGCGAGTGGGGAAGGGAAGCTAGGGCACATGCTCCTTAACCACTGGTTGTGGCTTGGGAGCGGGGGCTTCCTTCTCCACCCGCACTTCTGCATCGTCGGCTGGAAGTGCTGAAGCAGTCAGTGGCTCCTCCTGTCTGGCCGGGACAGGATCAGCAGATATGGTCTTACCGCTCCTGGTAAAAATGGCATCCAGCTGCTGATGCTGGTGAGGATCTCGAGGATTCGGGACAGTGGTGGCAGGCAAAGTCCCCGGTGCCCTGGTGGTGATTTGGCGGGCCAAGATGCCCACCTGGGTCTGCAGATCCTGCAAAATGGCGCCTTGGTTCCTCTGACCTGCCTCTAGTGAGGCTACACTCTGGTCCAACCTCGTGATAGTCGTCTGAGTGCTCGTCATGAATGAAGCTAGAATGTTTTCCAGCTTCGTCATCCTGTCATCTGGGGCTGGAGCTGCTGCTGGATCGGCAAACTGGCGCTGGGGCTGCTAGAACGGCTGCCCCTGCCTAGGCTGGTAGGGCTGCTGCTGTGGGTCTGGCCCCTGGCGAGCCTGGAAGGGCTGCCTCTGCTGAAAACCACCTGCTGGTGCTGGGAAACCAGGTGGTTTAGTGGTGTTGCTGCTCCAGGCGAAATTGGGATGCTGGCGCCACCCCTCATTATATGTGCTACTGTATGGATCGAGGCGTCGCGCATTGGCGATGAATGCCAACTGCTCCTAGGGTGTGGTAGACTCCCTCATAGCCTGGCAGTCCTCCACTAGGTGATTGGAGCTCTCACACCACTGACATTGAGCTACTGGAGGTGTAGCCAAACCTCTGCCCGGAATGAGACTGTTGGGCTGCTTCAATGTCTGCACTAGCTCGGCTACCTGCTGCTCGAGCCCGGATCTGGTCTCCATGGCGTGCACACCACGGTCCCTGGAATGTCTGCCTCTACTGCTCTGCCCCCATGAATGATCTCTGGCAGCCAATGTATTAATCATCTGGTTCAGCTCGGGTGGAGTCTTAGTGAGAACATCCCCTCCAGGGCATAAAGACTCAATCACCCTCTGGCTATCTGGGGAGAGAGCGCTTCCCCACTGTGAATGCATCACTGAAGCCATGGTGGGGACACTGCCAGAAATATCCCATGTACCGCTCCCATGCATCACGAAGTGACTCATCTGGCTCCTGGCGGAAGTGAGTGATCTCCCGCTGAATCTCTGTAGTCTTCGATGCCGGATAATACCTGTGCACGAACTTGTCTGACAGATCGTCCCAAGAGGTGATGGACAATGGGGGCTGAGTCTCCAACCACCTCTTAGCATTCCCTGCCAGAGAATGGGGGAAGAGGTGAAGGCGGATCGCATCATCAGGGACACCATTCAGCTTGAACCCGTTCGTCAGCTGCAGGAAACGGGAAAGATGCACCCTGGCCTCCTCATCCTTCAAGCCATGGAACTGGATAGAGGATGTGATGAGCTGAATCCAGCATGGCTTGATCTCGAAGTTATTTGCTGGAATAGGCGGGTAGAGGATGACCGGGCGGATGTCAGCAATCCGCGGAGTGTAGTAGTACTCCAAGGTGGGACCCGGCTGCGGTGGATGATGAACTCCATGATCCTGGGGTATGGGGTTGTTCCCCAGGACCTGATTCACCGGGGGAGCCTGCTGAGGATTCCCCTGGTGTTGATTGTAGTCTTCCATCTCGTACTCCTCCTCAGAATCACTGCTCACGTGGCCGTCTATGCGCTCTTCCGTAGCCAGTCTAGCTCGTTGTTGACTCCTGAGTTGGCGACAGGTGCGGTCAATCTCTGGATTCAACGGCAGTAAACCTCCTGACTGGCTACGGGTCATGCACTACCTCCACTACAACGAGATATATTTAGTTATCTTATACACATTATAAATGAGATGCATATGTAGCTATATAATCTATCTCATTGGTCTTTAGTAAGCTAGCTCACGAGCTACATATCAATGGGTAACAAGTCATAATAAACTGTTAATTATGTATATAAATTATAATGTAAAATAACCTATTTGATTGGTGTAAGTTTCTAGTACCTGGGAAGAGATCATCTGATGACTGGCGGTGGAGGGGAACCTAGACCAGCAGGAGGCTGGTTATGTTTTTTTTTTAAAAAATCTATCAAATTTGGGTCGGTTATATAGTTTTTTGTTAGAGGAGCTTATGGAGTCTCCATGGGCAACATTGCAGGAGGCTTGTTCTCTTAGTTTGGTCATTTTCTTTCATACCATACGTAAAAAGGGAAACTGGAGAACTGGAGAACTCTTTGTCGGTAACCAAAGAGTAAGTAAGTAATTGTTATCATCATTCTTTGTTGAACTGTATGGAGTTTTCTTGTACACGTTAATTACTTTGAGGACCTTTTTGGTTATTTGTTACTTAACCTAATTACTCTAGGCAATGTAGTAGACATGGTATATTAGCTTGGATGTTCGACCTTGAGATGTAAGTTCCGCAGCTCATATTCTGTGAAGACTAATAAGATAAACCGAGAGCTTCGGCTCTCCATTGAGTAGTCTCGTTCACATCGAACGGGCAAAACCACGTATATCGCTGTGTTGTTCTTCCGCGTTCTAGTAGATTTTACATGGTATCGGAGCAAGTCGTGATCTCACTCTGAAATTGCGATTATGACGATTAGAGATGATGGTGGTTCGGCCGGCAAGAACGTCGTCACCGACGTTGAGACTATCGCGCTGACCTCGCCTCTTTATCTCCATCCTTCAGAGAATCCAGGCCAATTGTTTGGGAGTGATCTCTTGACGGACTCAAACTATGGTGAGTGGGTTAACGATATGACCGAAACCCTAATCGCCAAGAACAAACTAGTTTTTGTTGATGGCAGTTTTTCTCGCTCCAAGGCCGGACCTGGAATCCGCAATGATGCTTGGGGACGATGCGACGTCACCGTAAAAGGGTGGTTGAAAACGGCAATGATCAAGGAAGTGAGAAATAGCGTTCGTGCGGCTAAAAATGCACGGGATATCTGGGCTGACCTTCAACAAAGATTCGGCAAAGGCTCCGCAGGAAGGGCTTATGAACTCCGCAGAACTATTGGGGCGCTGAGGCAGGAGAAGCTTTCGGTATCCACTTTCTACACCAAACTTGTCACTTACTCGGATGAGTTGCACTCAGTGACAATTAACCCTCGTTGCACCTGTGGTACATGCACCTCTGATGTTGCACGACAGACGAGAGAAAAGACAGAGTCGGAGAGGCTTTTTGATTTTTTGCTCAGGTTGGATGATGCCTTCTCAGTGGTCCGATCGCAGATTGACTCGACTCTACTGTCACTCCAGGAATTAGCCAAGTGTAACCACTTCCTAAAGCGTAGTATAGCGGGTTTGGGTTTAATTATCAACCCGGGTCCTAGATATGATGACTACTCAGTGAATTCTTGTTATCTAGCAATGAAACTGGAATGCAAGTCTAAACTATCAAACTAACAAAGCAAGTAAACAGTTGTATTCAGGTTAAGAGAGGTCACCCGGATATGGTTCCACCTAGACTGCAGTTAAGCCGGATTGTAATTACCAAGTTCAGTTTCTATGAAAGTTATACTACGGAAGGTTCTTAAACAGCCTGAAGTCTCGACTAAAGGTCTTCAGACCCTCTCAATCTGAATCTCTAGCTGGCGACTAACCTCCACCGGAGTAGACAGATTGAGGCCCTAAGAACAAAACCTCCACTACCGGAGTAAATCCGGTACAGAATAGTGAGTTGGCTCCTCGACTAAAGTCACCAACTCCCTACCTTCAATCAAGGATACTCTATTAACCTAGGTAGATATTCTCATTCTAGGTTAAAGCAGAAACAAAAGGAATTTGATCAGGATTCAAGTCATTCAATCATTAAAACCTCAATCGAATATAATCAATCATAGAATCAGTACTTAGGTTCATACAATCAAAGCCTAACATACAAATCTAGGGTTCTCCATACCCAGATGAATGGGAGAACTACTCCATGGAGAAGAAAGCAAAAGCAGAATCAGACACGGAATTCATACTGCGAAGGTTGGATTCCTGCTTCTGGACGTTGATTGGCACTTCTCCAAGCTCAAGCTGGCCTCCAATGGTGTTGAAGATCAATCTAGGGCGCTTGGGAACTCTTGTTCGTCGCTTTCTCTCTCTAGGAATCGTTCTCTCTCTCAAAAACTCGAATCCCCCCGAATTGTGGCTGAAAATCTGCTTAAAAAGAGAAAACCCCGACTCACACGGCCAGGGTGGCACGGCCGTGCAGCTCACCCAGTTGCCCGTGTGAGTCAAAACGCAGCGTATCACTTAGTTGAATTCCAGGCTCTTTGCACGGCCAGAGTGGCACGGCCGTGTGAACATCCCTTCTTGCCCGTGTTTGCTCTCACAGAATGTGGCACGGCCAAACTGGTCACATACACGGCCGTGTGGATTGTCTGTTCTGCCCGTGTCTGCTCTCGCACAATCCCACACGGCCAGACTGGCCACTTGCACGGCCGTGTGGGTTGTGGGTGTGGCCATGTGACTTCCTTTGTGACTTGCCTCGCGCCCGATCTTGGCCCAATCGACCCCGAACTCGCTCCTAAACCTTCATTCACTTGCCAGGACCTGAAATATCACAAACAAGCACAACCTAGCGTGAAATCGGTCTAAAACACGAGAAACCACATCTCCAACGGTGTAAGAACAGGGGTGAAAACATGTGTAACTAATGGTCTATCACAGATCCTGAGCATAAAGCCGACTCCTTCATTAGTCGAGGCCTACCAAGATGAAGAACAACAGTGCCATATCACTAGCGGTCGACGTCCGCCAGTTGAGGCCGCTGCCTTTCAAGCTCGACGAGAAAGGGAGATCGATGAGGAACCTGTGCGCTGTAGTCACTGTAAAAAGAAAGGGCACACGAAGGAAGCTTGTTACAAGTTGATCGGGTATCCCAACGATCAAGGTAAAAGTAGACAAGGAGAGCGTGGGAGTGAGGCTCGTCGTACTAAGCCCGATGTGAAGCAGCCACGGGCTGCGGTTGTTGAAGCCGAAGACAGTCCGATCCCTGGATTGTCCGCTACACAGTTCGCACAACTTAAACAACTGCTCACACCTCCTACTCCTCCGACCTCGGAACCCACTGCGCACATGGCTGGTAATTTTTCTGAACCTTATGAGTGGGTCATTGATTCAGGTTGTAATGAACACATTGTTCGCAATTCTCGTTGGTTAGACCGTTTAGACAATGAAGACTCTTGTTCGCCTGTTCGTATTCCGGATGGCTCGAGTGTGCCCGTATTGGGTATAGGCTCTACTAGATTGAGTTCACAACTTCAGCTACACCGGGTTCTCTATGTTCCTAGTTTCAAGTGCAATTTATTGTCCGTGAGTCGTTTGACCAAAGACAATGCAGTGACCTTGACTTTTGTGGCTGATCTTTGCGTCATCCAGGACTCATGCTCCAAGACTACGATTGGACTGGGTCATCTCCGTGACGGATTATATTATCTCATACGATTTGAGGATCGAGGCGTACGACTTGGGGACGTGGTGACCACGGGTTTCGCACGAGCTACTAGCAAGGCCACGGTCGAGTTGTGGCATGTGAGATTAGGCCATCCATCTGTTGAGAAGCTTTCGCCCTTGCATACTTGTTTGTCTTTTTCGGATTGTGTTGATAAGACACGGGATTGTGATTCTTGTTTGCGTGCCAAACTTACTAGAGAACCTTTCGTTACTCATTCGATTAAGACTCTTGCTTGTTTTGAGCTTGTTCACATGGATATTTGGGGAGGTTATCAAACCCCTGCTTTGGATGGATCACGTTATTTCTTAACGATAGTGGATGATTTTAGCCGATCCACTTGGGTCTATTTACTGAAATTAAAGTCCGATGTTGAACGATATATTCAGTTTTTCTGTCAGATGGTACGGACTTAGTATGATGGACAGGTGCGTCGGATTCAGGCCGACAATGGGTTAGAATTTCAGACTACCGATTTGCGGGAGTATTATGAGGAGAATGGCATAGTTCTTCAGACCTCGTGCATAAACACACCGCAACAGGATGGGGTGGCAGAGCGAAAACACCGCCACCTTCTTGAAATGGCCAGGGCACTTCGTTTCCATTCAGGTTTGCCGGTGCGATTTCGGGGTGACTGTATTCTTACTGCGACGTACCTCATCAACCGTTTACCCTCTCGACCTCTTGGTAATCGAACTCCCTTTGAGGTTTTACTTGGTCGCACTCCTCCATATCATCATCTTAGGAGCTTTGGGTGTCTTGTTTACATTAAGGACACCAGTTCGAATCTTGATAAGTTCGTCGAAAGGGGGAGAACAGGTATGCTTATCGGATATCCGGTGAGCTAGAAGGGGTATCGCGTGTATGACTTCAAGTCGCGGAAGGTAGTCACTTCACGAGACGTTTGTTTTGTTGAAGATCACTTTCCTTACCGCACGAGTTTGCCAGCTCCTCCTATTTTGTCATCTCCATCTACAACCAGCAACGTTTCTGATTTTGACGTCCCACAGACCTCCGATGAGCATCTTGCTGCGCCCACCCCTCAACATGAAGTGGACGTGCATGCTCTGCATGACGATTCGACCAAGGATACATTGCATGTTGACCAGGCCGCAACTTCTACTCCTCTTCCTGCTTCTACTTCTCAGCCCGCTCATGGCGAGCTGATCCTTCATCGTAGTCTCCGTGAGAAGCGCCCTCCGCGTCACTTGGTTGATCTTTATGACGCTTCCCTATGTCTAATCAGGTTAGCTATCATCGCTTCTCTCCAGAGCATAAGGCTTACCTCACTGGACACTGCCATTGCCAAAATTGAGGAACCTCGGCATTACTTGCATGTTATGAGAGATGCGCGTTGGCGTGAGACGATGACACGAGAGGTACGTGCTCTTATTGCTAATCACACTTGGGAGTTAACGTTTTTACCACCCGCCAAGAAAGCTATTGATGCTAAATGGGTGTTTAAGATAAAGTATTTTCCCGACTGCTCCATTGAACGATTCAAAGCACGCTTGTTAGCTAAGGGATTTACTCAGTTGGAGGGTACTGATTTTCATGACACTTTTGCACCCGTTGCCAAGATTGTTACAGCTCATGTTCTCATTGTTGTTGCTGTGAATCGCGGCCGGCCCTTGCATATGTTAGACGTGAATAATGCGTTTTTGCATGGGGATCTGGAAGAGGAAGTGTATATGAAGCTACCACCCGGTTTTGGTACGCCAGGGGACACGCGGGTTTGCCGTCTCAAGAAGTCCATTTATGGACTGCGACAGGCTTCTCGTAACTGGTACCAGAAGTTTAATCTAGCTCTACTCTACTCACTCACTCACTCTCTTTGATGACTGATTGTTGTGCATGCATGCTAAACACGGCCATCCTTGCTCGTTTCACATTTACATAGGTACAGCCCGGGTTAGACTGACTAGTTAACATGAATAATATTTATTTATTCATATGTTGTGTTCCCTTGATGCTTGAGTAGGTGGCTACCTCAAGACTCACGATTTTCTTCAACCACTAGAACGGGAAGGCGGTGGTCCACCTTGCGCCGCTGTAGCAAGGGGACACGCGGGTTTGCCGTCTCAAGAAGTCCATTTATTGACTGCGACAGGCTTCTCGTAACTGGTACCAGAAGTTTACTCTAGCTCTGTCTGAGCTTGGTTTTTGGACTTCCAAGGCACATCACTCGCTACTTATATATCGCCAGGGGGAGACTTTTGTTGCAGCTCTAATATATGTACACGACGTGATCTTGACAGGTACAGATCTAGATTTCATTGCAAAGGTTAAGAGTTTTTTGGATGCGAAGTTCAGCATCAAAGATTTGGGACCTTTGAAATACTTTCTAGGCATTGAAGTGGCCCGGTCATCTGATGGAGCCGTTTTGAGCCAAAGAAAATATACTTTGGATATACTAGACGATGCAGGTGTCTCAGGTTCACGGCCGAGTAATTTTCCCATGGAGCAGAATCATACCCTCACAAAGCCGACTGAAGCAGTGGTGGATGATGTTAGTAGCTATAGATGGTTGCCAGGAACACGGTGCTGCGGCAATGAGGATGCTTCGGTATTTGAAGAAGTCGCCAGGACAAGGGTTATTCTTCCCTGCAGGTGGGTCACTTGAGCTCACAGCTTATTGTGATGCAGATTTGGGAGGATGCCAAACGACTCGTCGGTCCACTACAGGGTACTACATACAGTTGGGAGGTGCCCCGGTCTCGTGGAGGACGAAGAAACAAAAGGTGGTATCTCGCTCTTCGGCTGAAGCGGAGTATCGATCAATGGCAAGTACTGTCAGCGAGGTCTTGTGGCTTCAGTTTCTGCTTGATGAGCTTGGGGTGTCACAGTCAAGTCCGACGCCTTTACATTGTGACAATCAGGCTGCTTTACACATTGCAGCCAACCCAGTCTTTCATGAGCGAAAAAAGCATGTAGAAATGGATTGTTACTTTATGCGAGAACATGTGGTTTCGAAGGAGATAGCACCAGTGAAGATTGGTAGTTCTTCTCAGCTTGCAGATATCTTCGCCAAAGCTTTGGGAGCGGAGCAGTTTCATCATCTTCTTAGCAAGCTTGGCATTCGTGAACTGCATGCTACAGCTTGAGGGGGAGTGTTGAACTGTATGGAGTCTTCTTGTACACGTTAATTACTTTGAGGACCTTTTTGGTTATTTGTTGCTTAACCTAATTACCCTAGGCAACGTGGTAGACAGGGTATATTAGCTTGGTTGTTCGGCTTTGAGATGTAAGTTCCGCAGCTCATATTCTGCGAAGACTAAGAAGATAAACTGAGAGCTTTGGCTCTCCGTGGAGTAGTCTCGTTCACATCGAACGGGGAAACCACGTAAATTGCTGTGTTGTTCTTCCGCGTTCTAGTAGATTTTACATTCTTTGTGGGTAGCCAAATAACAAGTCAGTAAGTGATCGTAATTGGTAATTAAAGTACATTAGTTAATAAGATCAACATTTTTATTCAAAGTCCTATTATATTACAATCTCAAATTAAAAGGTGTACCATAACACATATATGTTAACACTCATATTCAGTTTAAAACGAAAAATTTAAAACAACTACTCCACAAACATTCATGTGATGAAATGAAGTGGTGTCAGATACAATTTCAATACATCCGTACATAATTTTCAACAACAAAGCTTTAACCGACAAGAACTCCAAGTTTTCAATACATTGTACTTAATTGATCATTTGCAAGATGAACTTAATGTTCAAGTGAACTTCATGTTTTAATTTTTTTAATTTTAATAAAAATACATAATTTCTAGTAAATTTAGATTTTGAACATCACTTAGCAAAATCAAAATAGTTTTGCCTAGGTTTAGAACCAAATACTTTATTTTGGAGACTATATATTTATTTCTATATAATAATTATTCGGGTCAATCGGGCGGGTTCGGGTTAGTCGAGTTTGGGTCGATTGGGTTGCGGGTTAGTCGGGTTCGGGTTCAATCATGTTGCGGGTCAATCGGGTTCGGATTTTATCGGGTTGTGGAACAGTCGGGTTGCGGGTTGATCGAGTTGCAGGTCAATCAGGTTACAGACCGGGCGGGTTACGAGTCATTGATTTTTAGTCAACTCGGGTTGCGGGTAGGGTTGAATGGTCGGGTTACTCAGATCAGGTTCTGTTTTGACACCTATACACACCATTGTGATTGTCTTGCAAGTTGTACGGGTTTGAATAGATTTTCTTAGGGACAAACAAATGTTCAATCGTGGAGGAGTTCGATTCGGATAAATTGTGCACTTTTATACCCCTTGTCTTGTGCCGTTTGACTTGTTTGAGTACCGTATTTGGAGCCATTTTACACTATGTTTGGTCTTGTTTTGGCATGTTTAAGGTTAAGACCTTAGCAGGTAAAATGGGCGAGAGGATCGAAAGTCTCGACAAAAGGGATCGAAAAGGAAGCAAAACGAAGGAAAGTGCAAGCATAACGATTTGGCGAGAAGATCATGGGCAGGAGCATGTTCCAGGAGTCGTGAAGATTGCAAAGTTCCAGGAGCATGTTCAAGCCTCGCAGGCATTGCAAGGATCACTATCCCAGACCGTGAAGTCAACAGAGAAATCATGAAGTGTGTTAAGGAGACGATGCACTTTGCGCTGGGATCACGGTTTTGTTACGCACTTCACGGAGGTGATGTGCAACCGTGAAATATGCACTCGCAAGCTATATAAAGGAGAGTGAGCAGAATTTCAAAGGGGAGTTCTACAGAGAGAGTTTGGAGTTCTTCTTCCACAACCTATAAAAGAGCTATGAGCAAAGGATAATTGAAGGTGGATTTGACCTACCAAGAAATTTTGGAGACCAGATTTCATCTCCAGGCATCCTTCCGAGCAACTAGGAAGAAGGAGAACCAAGTTTTCATGGGGTTTTCCTCTTTCCTGATTGTTGTTATTTCTCTAGCTATGGAATAGTTTCTCTATTCACTTGGATAATGTATCGTAGTCTAGAATATTGTAGATTGATGTTTGTGAACTTTTTGTGTTGATGGGTATTGTTGATTATATATTGATTGAGGTATCTTCATGCAAATTGAGTGTTCTTGATCAAATTCCTCAATTTTGTGGCAAATTGACCTAGGAGGGAGAAGATCTCCTTATGGCAATTAGGGTCACTACTCAATCAACGTAGAGTGTCATGAATCACTATGATTGGTAACTCTATGTCGTTTCGGGTTAATCTCCAAGGGAGTGGAATTGGTTGCCTTAGTCGTCTTTTTCTGCAATGTGGTACCCTCCCTCTGATTAGACCGACTAAGCGGGCTAGGATGCACTCGAATAGAGGGTTCTAGCTATTTTAGATCTTATAACGGTATATGAATTTGCCTATTGTACTAGAGTATTACATTCTCATCTCGACACGGGACTATGGGCATAATCATCTGAGTGAAGTTTTCTCACTTGAATTAAACGTCATTTTATTAGTTTGATTGTTTAGTTAAATAGCTTTATACAACGTTTCGATTGCTAGATACTTTGTAAATTGTTGAAGTAAGGATATATAGATCGCCCATGTTTGATCATTGAAATACTTTCTCTATACTGCACCCAATTATAGGTTATACATGGCCTATGATTGGGATTTAGTAGTTAGTAGCGAGCCAGGTCTCAAGGTGAGTGGATTGTTGAGTGTACGACTAGTGTTTAAGAGGAAGTTTAGTATTTTGTTATGTTAGGTCGATTAGAGTTTTGAGTCAGAGTCTATATAATGTACTTAGAGTCCTAACGTTAGGGAAATCAATGAAACCTATAAAAAACATCGCCAATTATCCCTCCTCTCTCTAATTTTTTCAAAAAACCTTAATTCCCAACTCTAAAAATCACCCGATTCTGCCCATTTCTCATCTCAACCAATCTAATTTTTTTTTTCTAAACTCTATCTTATTACGTCAATCCGGGGCCCAAGATCCGTACCTACAACACTAAACAATCAAGAATTTTGATCAAAGTTAAAAGAGTAAATTCTTATTTGCTGATTGTCAAACTTTTACTAAAATGAAAATTTGGGGAAACGTTTGATGTTATGATGCCACACACACAGCGCCATCTCCACTTAGCTTCAGTTTCATTTTGAAAGAAGAAAGTAGCAGAGCATTGCAGCAAACCTTTCAAAAAGGAAAACAGGATCAATCAATCCCATCAATTCAAATCATTCTACCTCTCTTTCCGTTTTCATTCCCCCTTCTTATCCGATCCACAATAACGTAAAGAGGAACGGTGCGAACCTCTCTCACTGCAAAATATAATTTTTTGGCCAATTCCTTAACTCTGCCTCATTGTCTCGTCTCTTCCAGGGCCGGAGTCGCAGCAGGTCAGGTCAGTCGGTCGCGAATCTTTGTGCTTATCTCCGCGATGTTCTTTGATTATATTCCTCGATTTTGTTCTCGTAGAGCATTGTGATCCGTGCTTCAGTATGATCTTCTGATTGACGAACGACTTACAATGCAGAAATCCTCCGAGTTCCCCAGTTCGCGTTCTACGGGAGGAAATCATCTGTTCTTCATTTTTCCTTGATTACGGAGGATTTCTCACTGGCTTTCCGCTTTCCCGTCTGTTCTTCACAAATCAAATCTTGTCAATAGCACAGCCATGGCTGGTTTCAGGTTTTCTTTTGTTATTAATTAATTCATTGATTTATTGGTGATATTCTATTCGCATCATAAGTTGATTCAGTGACTGATGTCATGTCGGTGTGGAAAACTTGGCGCAGGAATCTCTAAAATCGAGGAGTGAAGAATTGTAGATTTTCTATCGAAGAGATGATGTCGAGATCGTATACGAATTTACTGGACTTGGCCAAGGGGAATTTTCAGAACATCAATCCTGAGAGGAAGGGATTGTCGAGGGTTATGAGCGTTCCTGGCAAGTTCTCGGACATGGAAGACGACGATGAGCCCGCTTCCTCTGATAATCCCTCCACATTGTCTGTGGACAGGATGATCATTGTCTCGAACCAGCTCCCCGTGAAGGCTGTCAGGAATCCTGATGACCAAGGCTGGAGTTTCGCCTGGAACGAGGATTCCCTGGTTCTGCAGCTCAAGGATGGTTTCTCTGAAGACATGGAGGTTTTCTATGTCGGTTCTTTGAATGTCGAAGTCGATTCCAAGGACCAGGATGAAGTGTCTCAGGTTCTGCTAGACAGGTTCAAGTGTGTGCCAACATTCCTCCCGCGCGATATTTACACAAAGTTCTATGATGGTTTCTGCAAGAAGCAGCTCTGGCCACTCTTCCATTACATGCTGCCTCCTGTTGAGGAAGGCAGCAGATTCGACAGGTCCTTGTGGGAGGCTTACGTAGCAGCAAACAGGTTGTTCTCACAGAAAGTGGTTGAGATTCTCAACCCAGAAGATGATTTCATCTGGATTCACGATTACCATCTGATGGTGCTGCCAACTTACTTGAGGAGGCGGTTTAACAGAATCCGGATGGGATTTTTCCTCCACAGCCCGTTTCCTTCTTCTGAGATCTACAGGACCCTTCCTGTGAGAGAAGAGATACTCAAAGCATTGCTCAATACCGATCTCATTGGGTTCCATACTTTTGATTATGCTCGACATTTTCTTTCCTGTTGCTGTCGGATGCTGGGTCTCGAGTATCAGTCCAAGAGGGGATACCTTGCATTGGAATATTATGGAAGGACTATTGGTATCAAGATTATGCCAGTTGGGGTTCATATGGGTCGAATTCTTTCTGTAATGAAACAAACTGATAAGGAGTCTTGGATTTCTGAACTGAAGAAGCGGTACCAAGGTAAGACTGTGTTGCTTGGTGTGGATGATATGGATGTCTTCAAAGGGATCAATCTGAAACTGTTGGCTATGGAGCAGATGCTCAGGCAGCACCCTATCTGGCAGGGAAAGGCTGTGTTGGTTCAAATAGTAAACCCTGCAAGAGGCAACGGGATTGATTTGGAGGATATAAGAACTGAAATACAAGATAGCTGCAAGAGGATCAATGGCCTATTTCGAATGCCTGGTTATGAACCAATAGTGATTGTTGATACTCCAATCTCAGTGGGCGAGCGAGTTGCTTACCACAGCATTGCTGAATGTGTTGTTGTTACAGCAGTGAGAGATGGCATGAATCTCACACCGTATGAGTACATAGTCTGTAGACAAGGCAGTGATACATGTACAAACTTCCATGGGTTGAAGAAGAGCATGTTAGTGATATCAGAGTTCATCGGTTGTTCTCCATCGTTGAGCGGAGCAATTCGTATCAACCCTTGGAACGTTGAGGCAACAGGCGAGGCAATGAACCAAGCAATTTCAACTTCCGACTCCGAACAACAGTTACGACATGAAAAGCATTATCGGTACATCAGCACTCATGATGTTGCTTATTGGTCGAGGAGTTTCTTGCATGACCTGAAGAGAAATTGTGCTGATCATAACAGAAAAATGTGCTGGGGGATAGGATTTGGGTTTGGTTTCAGAGTGATGGCTCTTGATCCCAATTTCAGAAAGCTTTCTGGAGCTGTTATTGTTTCGGCGTACAAGATGGCAAAGAGTAGAGCAATACTGTTGGACTATGATGGTACTGTGATGCATCAAAACGCCATCAACAAATCGCCAACTCAGGAAGTGATCTCCATCCTCAACAGACTCTGCGATGACCCAAACAACACAGTTTTCATTGTCAGCGGCCGAGGGAGGGACAGCTTGGCTGAGTGGTTTTCTCCTTGTAAGAAGCTTGGTATTGCTGCTGAACACGGCTACTTCCTGAGGTCTTCTTCTTCCCTTACCTGTAGCTTTTTGTATGTTAAGCTGCGTATTTATCTATCTTCAGAAAACAAGAAGGCCAACCAATTGCATCAGCGTTAACTGCATTTGTTTCCATTCCATTCTGCAGCGACTTCATTAGAGCTTTTAGGAGAATTTTGCATAATTGACAGTTCCGTGCAACGCCCTGCAGGTGGACGCAAGATGGAGGATGGCAAACCTGCGTACAGAGCAGTGAATTCGGGTGGATGCAGATTGCTAGGCCTGTGATGAAGTTGTATACAGAAGCTACAGATGGGTCTTCCATTGAGACCAAGGAAAGTGCTCTGGTCTGGCAATACCGGGATTCAGACCCTCGATTTGGATCAGCTCAGGCGAAGGAGCTGCTCGACCATCTGGAGAGTGTCTTGGCAAATGAACCTGTCGCTGTAAAGAGTGGTCAGTTCATTGTAGAAGTGAAGCCTCAGGTATATGCTTCTTCCACATTTATCTATATATGCTTCTGTAATTGCTAAACAAGTTGGTTGGTTGAATTATGATACAGGAAGTCAGCAAGGGGGTAGTTGCAGATAAAATTTTCACGGCTCTGTCGGGAAAGGGGAAAAAGGCTGACTTCGTTTTGTGCATTGGAGACGATAGATCAGATGAAGACATGTTTGAAGCAATTGGGAATGCACTGGCAGGGAAAGTTCTCGCCTCAAATGCCTCAGTTTTTGCTTGCACGGTTGAACAGAAACCCAGCAAAGCCAAATACTATCTGGATGACATAGCTGAAGTTGTTAGCACCCTTGAATCTCTTGCTGATGTCTCCACTACTCTCCAGTAGACACACCCACCCACCCACCCTTTTCCTCTCATCCTGAGAACCACACTGGGACTTCATAGCAAAGCTTTGTTGGACGGAATTTTTACTCTTTCTGAGTTTTGTCAGGTTACTTCTGAACTAGAATGAATTAGCATTTGAAGATAGTAGATAGAGAGAGAGGGAGAGAGATCTCTTGGTATTGTTACCCCCTTTTTCTGTTTTCCTTTCTTATGTTCATTTAGCAGTTTGTGTCGATTCTTCTTTTCCCAGAAGAGATTTTCAGAAAGAATTACGTGTATAGTTGGACAATTCATAACCGTAAGATTATATTTATTTTTATCCCCTTTTCTGAAGTGTTTCAGTGTTTTTTTTCTAAGAAACTCGATGATTTTGCCACTTTTTATGTTATGTTGTTCCTGTATTTTATATTTTAGAGCGTAGGAAGAAAGAAATCGATTAAGAGTCAATTTGTAAGAAATTTAAACTCAAGGGGAGTCAGAGATTCAAGCCAAGAAGTGAATGTGAAGTCTAGAGTTGTAACAATTGCCTTCTATCTTATAGGTTATAGCTAAGGGGTTGTTTGCTTCGTGAATTTGAAAAATGAAGGTTTTGGTAAAACTTGGGTTTTGTAAAACCATGGATATATGAGGGTTTTGGATTCATCATGGACTTGAAAAATACCATTGTTTGTTTTATAGATTTCATGATGGAATTGATTAATTAGATTTGTATATATGAAGTGAAATTTACCTTTATTGCCCTCATTGGTAGGAGAAGATAAATGAAATTAGGAGGGGTAGTTTGGTATTAAATGATGGATTTCAAAGTCCATGATCAATTCCCACCTAAATAGGCGAAACTTTTAAGTCCGTGGGGTCCATGGATTTGGATCCTTAAAGTTTGTGGGACCTACGGATTTGTTGCCCTAAATGCACCAAACAAACAATAGATTTTAGACAAAGTTCATGATGGATCCAAATCACTCACCAAATCCATCAAGCAAACAAGTCTTAAGGGAATTTAATATCAAAATGAATTTTCTCGCTCAAAGAAATTAATTCTCTGATAGATTAATCTCATACCCGAAATCCCGAATGCATCTCAAGAAGAAAACACGTATTTTCAGTCGATAGATTAATCTCGAATGGAGATTATAAATGGGCTATAAATGGGCTCGGAGTACATGGTGCATCGTTTTCATTTCACCGAAACACCCCATTTAGTATTAAACCGTCAGGCCCATTTGTCTTTGGCATGGTCATTGCCTATAGGAAATTAGGAATTATAGAAATAGCATCAACTTCTTACGGTGAGCAGTGTTGTTGGATTAACTCAAAACAAATTGACAAAATCAAATTACACGATTACTGTAATCACTAATCATATATCTAGTAGTGTCAATTCCACACCCTCCTCTTTAAAAGTACAAAAAAAAAAAAAAAAAAAAACATTTCTCCTCGTGGGGTTATTAGAACTAAAAAGAATCAGGACTACTTCCTCACCAGTAATCACCACAAGAACATTTTCCATTCCTGAAATGGTGGAATCTACTACCATCCCTAACAACGATCTCCTTGTTTCTAACCTCCGATATGCATCTGAAGGCAGCATGGCAATCTCCACAGATTCTCAAGTTCTTCATAATCCTTATCGGCATCCCAGGTGGAGTATGCATGAGAGCAAACGCAACTGCTAACTTCTCACTGTGGTGGGTCAAATTGTATTCTTTCTCCTCCACGCCCATATCATGCAAAACAGAGGCTGTATCAGGCACATACCCTTTCTTCTTCTTTATCTCTGCAATCAGCTCTTTCAAGTACAACTCAATCTTCTCATATTCCGGATGGTACTTGTCGGACATACAGAACTGGTGAACCTGGTTTTTTATTTCCAACCAGCTCACACCAGGTTCCTTCTTCACGTTCTTATCCCTCATCGCCTTCCAAACTTCAGAAACATCCTTCCATCTCCCAGCAGAGGCCTGAGCATTCGCGAGCAACACATATGATGATGAATCCTGCGGTTGAAGCCTCAGGACTTCTTCAGCAATCCGTTGGGCCATGTCAGCTTCCTTATGGATTTTACAGGCTGATAACAGTGTTTTCCAGATGGCAGCATCTGGTTTGACACGCATTGACCTTATCATGTCCTCAGCTTCACTCAGACACCCCGACCTACCTAGCAGATCAACCATACAAGTGTAGTGTTGCACGCTAGGTTTCAGGCCACATTGCTTTTCCATCATCTCAAATAATTCCATCCCCTTTTTCCTCAATCCACAATGGCTACACGCATAAAGCAAGCTCAAGAATGTCACTTCGTTTGCCTCCAAACCCCTACCTTGCATCTCTTCAAACAAATGTATGGCTTCCTCTCCTTGCCCGTGGAAGCCATACGCAGCAATCATCGAGCTCCACAACACATCATCCCCATTTTCGTGTTCGGAGAAAACTTTCAAAGAAGCTTCCAAACACCCGCACTTGGAATACATGCCGATCAATGAACTACTCACTGCAACATCAGAACAGGCACCAGATTTCAATGCTTCGGCATGGATCTGCTGACCCTGACCAAGAATTGCAATTTCAGAGCATGAACTGATTACACTAACAAAAGTGATCTTATCAGGTCTAGAACCTGACATTTTCATCATCTTGTAAAGTTGCAAGACTCCTTCTGAATAGCCATTTTGAGCTTTCCCAGCAATAAGAGTATTCCAAGCAACAACTGTGAGAATTGGCATGGCTTTGATTACTTTTTCTCCTTCATCCAAGCTTTTAGTTCTCATGTACATATGTGCCAAAGAGCTACAGACAACCAAGTTAAACTCAAACCCGCATTTCATCACATAACCATGAACCTGCCTCCCAGCATATAAAGCTCTCAACCCAGCACAGCCCCTGAGCACGCTAGCCAAAGCAAACTCGTCAGGCATGAAGCATGACTGGTGCATTTCCCGAAAAAAGGACAACCCATCTTCATTGCACTCGAACTGGACAGACCCAGTTACCATAGCATTCCAAGTGGCAATATTTTTCTCAGGCATTTCGTCGAACACCTTACGGGCATTCGTCAAATCACCAACGTGCACATATCCATTAATCAAAATGTTACCAGACATGACGTTCCTCCTGGCCAGGGCGTTGAACCAGGACAGTGCTGCTTGTAAGTCTCCAAGTTTGGAGTACAAATTGAGAAGGTGATTGGCGACAAACTTTTCTCGTCGATACCCAGAAGTGAGGACCAATGAATGAAGCTGCTTCCCAAGGAGCAGAGACTTGGCCTGAATGCATGAGAGAATGAGGTGAGAAAAGAGAGTTGGGTCTTTCCAAATCTCCGAATTAAATCTATGGAAAGCTTCTTTGATTTGTCCTCCATAGCAGAGGCTCGTGAATTCTTGAAGCGGAATCGGTGGGGGAGGCTTTGCCGGGTTTACAGTGGAAAAACTTCGGCGGAAGAAACGGAGAACGGAGATACGGGGCCGACCCATGCCATTAGTGACGCATTCCGTATAGCCTTCTCTACATGTAGGCGGGTTAATAACCAAGTTTGTCAAAACGGTTCAACCGCTGACCAGGATAGCCAAGTGGTTTATCATTTAATGGATGGATCTTGTTTAAACTTTTTTTTTTCATAGATAGGTGTATGTCATCAGTAGGTGTACAATCCAGTATGCTTACAAATAAGTAGTAAAAAAAATAAATAAATGCGGCGATCGATAGCTAATCAATCCGCCGATAAAAGAGTCTTTTTATCCACTTAAAGGGCAGCCCTGTCAGTATCCTAAGAAATGCAACAAAGGATATAAGCGGGTACACAACACGCGGCAAAGCCAGAAAAGCCAGAGGATATATAATCTACTGACGGACACCCCATTAGCAGCTTCACCAAGTGAGCCTAGGGATGGCAATGGGTCGGGTTGGGTCGGGTTATGCCAAACCCAAACTCATGGGTTTATCCGTGAAAAAAACCAGGGTAAAACCCACTGGGTTTGAAAAACTCAAACCCAACCCAACCCGTTGGGTATCAGTGGGTTCATAGGTACCCACGGGTTTTTGTCGTAAAAAATTTACAATAACAAGTTCCTATCAAAATTAAAGTCAAATATCAATCTCTCAATACAAATTATCCATATATAAAACACCATTCTAGAAAATTCAAGCAAATCACAAATTAACTATACAAATTATTCAACACCAATCTAGAAAACTCAATAAAATTGAAGCAAATCACAAATTATCCATAAATAACATGATTAATTGAAAGCTTCTTCCTTTCAATTAAGTTTCTTCACTCTCCACTCGATGACATCAACTTCATTCTACACAATTAGAAAGAAAAAAATTAGACATGTCTCCCGAAACATAAATAAGATTAGTTGTTTAGAATATTAGATATACCGAGAAAATTAACTATATGGGTGTGGGCGGGTACCCATGGGTCGGGTTTACCTAAACCCAAACCCAACCCGGTGAATAGTGAACGGGTTTAAACCTAAACTCGGGCCAAAACTCGTCAACACGGATTTTACCCGCGTTGACCGGGTTGGATCGGGTGGGTACCCGTGGGTTTGGGTTTTGTTGCCAGCCCTGAGTGAGCCTCCGGATCCGCAGTGAAGTAGTCAACGCAGTAAAACGTCTTGTTCTACACTCCGAAGCCCAACAGCCCACTTAATAGAGTATAAACTTCTAATGTCCTCTTGCCGAAGGACGTATCAGCAGCTTCGCTGCAAAATAGAAAAAACAAACCAAAGGGCCCAGCCAGGCCTACCCAAAAAACTAGGAAGACAAGCCCAAAGTGCCTAAGGAGCCGGAAGCCGTCCAGATTCCTAGAGAGGCAAAGATTTTATCAACTATAATAATAATAATAGAGTAATATTTTAACAGAATAGATCCACACTCCCCGATTTATTAGCTGGCCAGAGGCTACGCAAGGGATGGGATGGGATGCTAACCCCATATCCCGTTAGCACCGTCCTAACCCCATTATATTAATTTCCTTTTTTTTCGGCTGATAAAATGGGTTTTTATTGTGAGGGTATTTTTGTAAGGTCTGTGTAATTAGCTGACTCATTGCTTCAAATCAGCCGAGATTTGTAAGGTGAGATCCCAACAGTCACTTTCGTTTTTTTGGGAGATTCTTTCTTCTCAATTTCCATTCTATTTCGTCGCCGCCGAATACTCCCTGCGAAGCCGAGAGTTTTGGTTGTTGTTCGCCTGAACTATCCTCGGCGACGCAACCCTCCGCTCCTCCGACCTCGTCGCCGCCGAATACTCCCTGCGACCTCCTCTGCTCCTACGAACTCAACGACGCCCACCGCTTGTCCGCCCTCGTCGCCGCCCTCCGAGGTTCCCACCTTGTCGCCGCCCTCTGCTCATCCGAGATCGTCGCCGCCTCAGGTAATAGTCAAGTCTCATCAATCGTCCTTCCATCATGTACTAGGCGCCATTGCATGCTCCATTCCCTGTGCTTGTTTTTTGTTTTTGGATTTATGATCTGTCTTTCCATTGCATGTCGCCCTCCCTGCTGGTTTTTTTTTTATTTTTTTGTTCAAGATCTGTCTTCAATGGAGGTTGCGTGTAGGTTGCTGTATCCAAGCTCTGTTTTGGGTTCTGATCGGAGTGGGATGAATTTTTATTTTCCGACGATGTTCAGTTTACAGTGAAGGCAGATGGCCATTCATTCGTAGTGTTTTCATTTGTGGATAGTATTGAATCGATGAGTCATTTCGTAGTGTTTTCGTTTGTGTTTGTTATTGTTTCGTTGGTAGTGATTCGTGTTAGGTTACACCTGACTGTGAAGTGAGTGCGGGCTTTGATCTGGTAGTGATTCTTATCCTGATCAGTAGTGTTTTTGATATAGTTGTGGTTAGGAAGATGGCCATTCATTCGTGTTAGTACTTTTTCTTTTAGCAGTAGTGGTTTTACAGTGGGGAAAGCATTTTGTTTTGTTATTAGTGGGGTTTCTTTTTTAGTAGTGTTTTGAAATTGTACTCAAAGTCTTGCTAAACGCTTGAAAGGACAATGGTAACATACTGTAATTAGGTCATTTGTGTATGCATTAATGGCGAAGGTGAAGTGTCCGAAAGGTTCGAAACCTAGTTGTACCGAAGGAGAAATGATGGATGTTATTCAGGCAGCGGAGGCAGATAGGTCCCGTACTCAGCACAAGTGTTTTCCTGGCCAGTTGATTACTATTGTGAAGGAAGTTGTGAAGAACCAGACCATAACCAAGTGGAGGGAAACTAAGCTACGTGAGATAGGGCTTGATTTTGTTTTTGATATGCAGATGACCATGTTTGACGCTGAGCTGATATCGTGGCTCTCTGAGAATTTTGATGCCAAGACCATGTCAATTCAGATGATGGGTGGTCGGGTTCTCCGCTTCACAGCAGATGATGTATCTAGGATATATGGCTTGCCTAGGGGTCCCCAGAAGGTCAATGTTGACAAGTTTCCCATGAAGGCCAAGAAGAAGTTCAGGTTGGCGCTTTAATGTATGGGTGATCAAAGACAGGTTTCGAAATTGGTGAATCTGAAGGAGATGCTGGCAAAGGAGTCAAATGATCGCATTTGGGTTCAATTGTTTGTGTTGCTTTTTGTTCGGGTACCTATTGGATCCCACAACGACGAATGTCGGCAAAATGACATATCTTGGTTTCTTGGAAGATGAAGATCTAGTTGATTTGCTCAGTATGATTGGTGTGCTTATCTTACGGACTTCATGAAGAAGGCTTTTCTTCGGAACGAGGACAAGAAGTATATAGTGGGCGATTTGCACCTACTTCTTATTTGGTATTTGGAGGGGACTGCTCCTACTGATGCTGATATCACTACCACACCAACTTGCAAGAAATGGACGTATGCTAAAGTGGTACACCGCAAGGCTGATATGAGATTGGAATATGGTGATTTTGGAGAGGCACCCTTGCGTGAGGTGGCGGCCACTGAGAAGAGGGAGAGGCCTGACATGGTAATCGATGACGCCAGTGGTCCAAAAAGGCTAGATTTGATACTGCCGAAACCTCTTATGGTGTGCAACATACTTCCACGAAGGTGACGCACCAAGCCCTACGACTTGAGGATATGGATACACATCAGGTTAGCTTGGTTTATAATTACGGGAGTTATACTATATGCGTTGGGGTGAATAGAATTATTTCAACTTATTCTTTTTGTGTCAATCAGGTTATGGCTCTACGTAGTGGTTTTCTGGACATGGCTGCTATGTTGTCACAAAAGATTGCTGCATGTGATTCGCGTTTGAAGGAACTAGCATCTGTTGGCGAGAGTAGCCGTGGCACCGGAACTTCGTTAGAGAAATCTAATGAAGCTGAGGGCGGTTACCAACCTATAGCTGAGGACTATGGGGGTGACGAAACGGATGCTGATGACACATCATACAAGGCTGCTAGTGACGGTGACACCAACGACGGTGAAGAAGTGAAGGGTGACAGTGACACCAGTGACGGTGAAGAAGTGGAGGGTCAAGATGCTGATGCAGGTACACTTCAATTATGTGTTTGTCCAAAATAGTATATACTGGCAGCCAATTCGAGATTGCATTGACCTTGAATTGTAGGTGATGACTCGTATAAATGTAGGTTTCCACATAGTGCAGGCCATACAAATGATTGTTAAATTGTATAACTCATATTTGTATTCTTGATTTTCCATTTGATCATATGTAGTAGTTGCTGCTGTTGACCAAGTTCCTCCACATAACAAGACTCCATGTCCCTCCCATTCTGGAAAGGAAGGTAATTAGCGAGTAATCAATTTGTTTAGGACCAAAACCACTCCCAATTATCTCAGTAGTGTTTCCTTGATAGTGGTTCCTTTAAGTCACTAACTCTATCTCGCAGGTGCTACTAGGTTACAAGGAGGCATTCCCCAAACAACTCCTCCACATGATGGGCTTGTTACGGGAGGTAAACTGTGCATGTAATGTAGTAATAATCAACTCTAGTCCCTTATCATTATGTCATGTAATGTTTTCTAATTCCCCACTTGTATCCCTTATTTTGTATATAAGCCACGTACAATATATGGCTTTATGTAAGGGACTAGTCTTCTGCTAGGGATGTATTCTGACCAGACTTTTGGTAACCTGTATATGTATGATATGTTACTAGTAATGTCACCGATGTGGTCGTTGATATGATCCAAATTGGCCACTTCTACAAGTCACAATTACTTGCCAAAGAAGCTATCAACGAAGGAAAGAAGAAGGACAGAATTTGGCTAAGTCAAAATCCGTGTTCAGGGTACATACTTTGGAGGCATGGTTCTCTCAATTGGCTTTGTGTAAATTCAAGGTTAAGGGTTTGTTTTGCAGATAAAGTTGTCATGTTGCCAATCGTATGCTTTTTAGATCCAGATGATGTCATTAAGGTTGTTTTCCAAGGTCTCAAAGTTGCTACCTCAAAACTGGAAAACTGCCAGAAAATGGTTTAAGTCTGGAAACTGTTTTGTGAAGCTTACTTTGGAGCTTAATTCGAGGAGTATGGATCTTATTCAATTCCAAAGGATTCCACAACATGAAACTAGGTATGTTTGTGAACAAAGGGAAGGAATTGGATGAAGAATTGGAGTTTGGGAAGGCCTCGAACAAAAGGCGCGAAGTTAGTACGAAAGCTGCCTTTTGACTGTTTTGCGGGCAGCTTACTTGTGCTTCAAGAAAGGAAGTTTGTGTCCGAATTTTGTAACCTTTTTAGAGTAGAATTTTACTTTATTTGTTTCCTTGTTCATCTAGGTTTGTATTAGGTTTTCTTGGCTATAAATAGCCTTCTATTTTCGTTGTAAAAATTCAGACTTTGATTAATCGAATTAAGAACCTTTTGGTTTTTGTGCAAGTTGCGACTTGTGTTGAGTTTGGTGGATTCCAAGCTCGTGAGCTCTTGTATCGATTGAATAGTCACTTCAATCGTGGTCGGGCATCTACCTTTTATACCAATTGAGCTATCCCCAGGTGTGGATTTGTCCTTTTGGTCCCGTTTTATCCCAAGTTCGTATTAAGAGCGCTTCGTTCTTGATTCGAGCTCAATCGATTCTTCGATTGAGTCGTTTGCTGCGTTACTTTGGTAAAAATACACCCCCAGGGGCGTATCAGTCGTAAATGATGTTGGACAATATGGTTGCAGCTGGTAGTCCTGATCACGGCAATGATCAGTCCTCCACCCAGATAGTTCTGTACCATAATGTTGGTGGAAGTTCATAGGATGGTTGTTGCAACAACCCTTGCCAGTATACAAGATGAGTTGGCCGTAGACCTATCTAAAGAGTACCAACTCGATGTTGATGATGACTTTTCCAACCATCCAAGGATGACCTTACGAGCACACACCAACCCATCTCAATTCAGACGTTCCCCTTATTGTACACTGGATGCTAAGAAGAAGATTGTTCCACAGCTGACTGCATTGGCAGTCATTCCGCCTACGTCAATCACTACCGATCCCGCGAACGAATTGAGGCAATTACTATTGGAGTATGCATGGTTAGAGGGGAAGCCATATGATGGGTACACAAACTTGGATTTTGGTCAAGTTCTAAGTACCTTTTTCCTGCAAAATATTACAATATTGAGATACGCCTAACACATTTTCATTTTTTATAGGAAGGAAGTGTTGTGGGAAGCTACTGGGAGTACTATTACTCTCACTCGCCAACTTGCGTTGTGCATGAAAGGAACTCGGATGATTGAGGCTGATTTCGTTGATTGCTACACCGATTTCCTCAATCGCAAAGGTGCAAAAACAAGGTCGATCGCCCGTTTTGTGTTCCCCACATGTTTTACGGTTAGTAATTTCGAAAGCCTTAAACTTTTAAAGTTGAAGTGACCATGCATTTTAGCCTCCTACGGTCTAGAAACATCCCGTGTACTGAACTACAAAACGTACTTACGCCATAATTAGTAGTATACATTTCGGATCCTATGGTATCCATTTTCCTTATATATCAGTATATATGTCATATGAATCCTGTTTGAAGTTTTGTTCATCCAGTAGCCATTTAGAATCATGTTGTATTTAATCCCTTCTCACCAAGTAAACCCTGTTTGAAGTTCTGTTCATCCATTAGCCATCTTAGTGCTCTCCTTTCCAATCATGGTTGTAAATGGCAGCGGCTAACTGCGTTGGAATTTTCATCCGAAGACAACCCCATAAATACTGTTCAGGAGATGGGTGAACAGAATACTCCCAACGACTATATTGGAGAAGTAATTCACTGCTTTGAAGAGAGAAATTACCTTGCGGGCTTGTCAATGAGCAATTGCAAATTTGTAAGTCACCTATTCTTTAATATACCTACAGGATTCTCAGTCATAATTTCATTATCGAGATTCTTTCTAACCCACTGACTTTGGGGACTACCTTTGTAGTGGATCTTCCCTCATTGCACCGCGAACCACTGTGTCATATTTTGTGTTAATCTCAAGGATCGGAAGTTGAGCACTTCTACTATGCTATATAGTATTGGTGCTTTAATGTACAACTTGAAGTTGTACCATAACATTAAATGTATAAGTTTAGGTTGTACCATAAAAGAATTTGAATCATTATGTTAAGGTACAACTTTACAACTTGAAATTGTACCATCACATAAGGTACAAGTTTAAATTGTACCATAAAAGAATTTGTACAAAAAGTATAGGTACAATCTGAAGTTGTACCATAACATTAAAGGTACAATTTCAAGTTGTACCATAAGGATAAAAACATATAGCACCAATGCTATATAGCATTGTAAAATTCCTCTCGGAAGTTTGAGTTTCTAGACACCGACCCTGCCGGTAATTTCAAGAATTACCAACGTCTTGGTAAGAGTGTTGTCCAGTATGCAACCCGTTACATAGAATCCCGCCTGCATGGAAATTACAATTTCGACAACTTCAAGTGGCGCGAAGTTCCTTGCCCGAAACAGGATGCTAGAGAATCATGTGGAGTGTTCTGCCTCAATTTCTGTGAGTTATGGCAAGGCCAAGTTCTAAAGAAATGGAAGACTCAATGGAGCGGCCAATCCTACGACCTCCATCGGAGAGCAGAGCTGCTGTCCACATTACTCCAGGATGAGGGGAATATCCATCTACCCGACCTGACACACACCATACATGAGCTGCGCGACACCCTGTTTCGTGTCTTCACTCAGGCGTCATAAATTGGTTGTCAAAAGTACGGTTGGACATACCTAGTATTGTTATCTATTTTCTTCACATTGCTGTCCACTATTGGTTATTTCATTGTTCAGACAACACCTTCATACTATCTATTTCAATAGTGTTAATGCCTGCTTTTTTAGTATTCATTTCAATAAAGCGGTGACTCTACATGCTTACAAAAACCCTACTTATGAACTCGTACGCAACCCAAAACACCATACGATACACTCTACTGACTCCCAAAATACTACACACACAAAAACCCTACACATTATCCACTAGGAATGCAATATTATGCTTTATTTACTACTTACTTACTTGGGATGCCGTTCTGC